TGCCGAGGAATTAGTTAGTGGTGGACGTATGGTTCTAACAATTTTGGGAAGAACAAGTGAAGATACATTCCATAATGAATACGGTTATGTTTGGGAGTTTTTTAATTCAGCTCTCAATAGCATGGTGATTGAGGTAAAATATCATTATAGTCATTTAAATGGTGAGACGTTAGTATATATCTTTTTTAATATATATTATTTTGCGTTGTGGATTCACTGCAGGGAATTGTGGAGGAGGAAAAAATAAACTCATTCAATATTCCAACTTACATGCCATCTTTCATTGGGAGTCGAAGTCGAAGTCTTAAATGAAGGAAGTTTCACTATTAATCGTTCAGAAGTTTCAAGAATTGGCTGGAACTTTTATGACAGTGGTAACGAATCCAACTCAAATCGAGTATATTCGTTAATAATGGTTATGACTGTGTGAAATGCATACGATCTCTAGCTTAACCATTTTTTATTCATCATTTTGGAGAAGCTATTATGGATGACCTACTCTTCAGAAGAAGAAGAAAAGAAAAAAAAAGATATTGTTGCTGATTACATGTCAAAGGAGAAGATTGAGTTCCTCAAGCTCATTATCTCTCTAATTAAAAAAATTGATGAAAACTAAGTGGTTTTTTTTCCTTAAAAGAATGGTTATTACATTTTGTGATGTTACGAAGGAAGATTATGTGTCATTTAAAGAATGAAACTACATTATAATATTATTTAGGTTGGTAGTTTTCGATTTAGGTTAAAAAACATATTTGGTCTCTGAACTAAGTTCAGGTAACGATTTAGTCCCTAAATTTTCAAAAGTAACGTAGTTATTGTACTCTCAAAATGGTAACAATTTAGTCCTACCATTAAAAATTGGTTAGATTTAACAGAAAAATCTGACGTGACATATATCCATGTGTATAAGTAATGTCCAACTGTACAAGTAGTTCAATTTTGGGTTGGTTCAAACTTGAACCAGTTCAAAATAAATCAAAAACAATAATTTAAAAGAAAATTAGCAAAATTGCAACCACATTTTTTTTCAAATATAGCATTTTAAAAAAAAAACGGAGATGCAATTTTAAAATGACAACTTTACCCAAATGATATACATTTTTAATATATCTGACTATTGATATATGTATGATATAGTACTAATATGAGTGTTTGATATATTTGCAATATGTATGTGATACACATATGATATACTACTGATATGAGTGTCTGTGTAATATGTGTGTGATATATATCTAAGATACTATTGATATGAGTGTCTGATATACTACTGATATGAGTATTTGATATAATACTGATATAAGTGAAATTTTTTGCTATATTTGAAAATTTTAAAAATAGGTAACATTTTTTAAATTCATAAAAGATTTTTGCTGCCCATTACAATTTCCCTATTAAAAATGTCAATACTTGTTTTTTTTGGGATAAAATATCACTTATTTATCCTGATTTTGAGGATATGTTTCAATTTGGTATCTTAAGTTTCACTACAGGAAAACAGGTTTTCACTAACACAGCAAATGTGCCACTAAAAGTCATATTTTGTCGTTGAAACTATCAGCGACGACGATACGCGCGAAAAAGTGACAGTTTGATCTCGTCCTTTAGAAAATAATGCTAAAATGTCCCTAAAGTCAAACTTTAATGTCATTTGTAATTCTGGAATGCTGACGTGGCAATGGTGAATGAGATATTTTATAAATTTTATATTATTTTTAATTATGTACAAATGTTTTTATTCATTTTCCTCCCCTCTAACTCTCTCTCAAATTGTCATGCTTCGGAGTCATCGCTTGGGGACAACTAATTGATAGTAATTTGTTTAACAGAAAATATGATTTTATATATAGTTTGATAGTAGTTTAATAAAAAAGAAATCATGAAAAGGGTTTACATTCATTTTTAAATATTGGTAAACAACTAGTCAGGCAACAAAATATATAATTTGTTATGAGTTTTTTTTTTATTATTATTAATATCATTACAAGTGAAGGGAAGAAGATAAGAACATTTAGTCCAGGAAAAAAGAACTATACAAATGTCTAACCAATGGATCTAATTCGGTTGGTAGTTTTATATTTATTACCTTTTTATCTAATCACATTTATTAGTTAAAAAAATACCATTAAATTTTAGCTCAATTATCATTGAGCTATGTTGGCCCATTAAATTTCTTTCATTAAAAAAACATTTAGTATAAATTAATGTACTTAATTATCATATCATAGCCCTGTTAAAAATGTCAATATACCTACATATTAGATGGTAGTCTATTAAATAATATTGATTACAAAACAATTAAAAAAACCATTATATTATTGCTACCTACTTTGTTTAATATAACTTTTTTTTTTACCTATCTTAGCTTATTTAATATAACTTGATATCATTTTGTTCAATAGAACCACTATATATATATAGATAAAATCTTCCAATTTGTTGTACTCAAAATATATATATAATAGTTTGAAATGAAAAATATTAAGTGGATTTTTTATTGTAATTAGTTTCTTTTTATGTAGCTAAAAGAAATTTAAATAATTTTCTAAAATTTTTTAAAATATATTGTTATATATTTTCATCTATATGATATAAAAACAAAAATAAAATACTAATTTTTAAAGAGAAACTAAAATAAAAACTAAAACGCATCATCTACAAATTAAATAATTATATATTATATATTTGTTATAATTTAATATCTTTCAATGCCTTGGGGATAGATATAAATTGATAAAAAGATAATATGGTTACAATTAAAATTTACAAAAGATAACCATCTAACTTATTTATTCTGTACTTAAAAAGAAACTTATTTATTTTATTAATATACCTTCATCTTTAAAAGTAGATATTCTCAACTGTTGATAATAAACACTATATTATTTTCAACTTTGTAAAATTATGATAAACTGCAACGTGATCACAAACCTAAGATCCGAGATATAGATTCGACGCACATGCATCTCTCTTATAAAGCCTTTTAGAACAATAGCTTTAGTTCTTAATAATAATGAGAGAAGGAAAGTTTGAAGTGTTGGTGAAAAATTTATGGCGTGTATACATATTATTTATACGGTTTATTTTACCTATTTATAAGATATCAAAGGTTTCAGATCCCCTTTATATCCATTATAATCTTTTGAATAAATCACACTTTTAAACTTTGTGATAATTGCGTGTTTGAAAATTAGTCCTATTTATTGGTTCATTCTAATTTTTTTTGGTTCATAATCCTACTATAATTGAATTAAGTAAATTTCCATTAAGAGTTTGGTTTGACTTTTAAAAGTAATATTATTTTTCAAGTATATCAAGTTAAGTAGAATGTACTAATTACTACCATGAAATTTTAATATTTTTTTAACGTACTGAAATTATTCAAAAGGTATGTCAAACTCATGGTTCTATACTATTTTATAACAAAGTTAATTTACCAATTATTTTAAATTAGAAGAAAAAACCCCTTAAAGAGATGTAGTTTTCACCTTTGCTCATCAATACCATAAATTGATCTGATGAATAATTATTTTAAGCTTTTGTATGATTATACATTGAAATTAATTTACTCATTTGGTTTCGTACAAATGGTCCTGACAATCAAACTACCTAATTTAGTAGTTTCCATGATAAAATTAAAACCACGTTACATTTGGTGAGAATCCTAATCCAATTAAAAACAATCTTTCTTCGTCTTTTTTTACCTCTCATCTTAGTGAAACAAAAACTTGCTCAAAAGTATTTATGTTACAACACTACTATGGCTCCTTGGGTGATGTTCTCGTTTCTTTGTTTCTCTTTTTTAATTTTATTAAGAAATTTAAGCATTTGACAATTATATATGTTTCTTGTTTTTAAGATTTTAGAAACATTCTTAAAATTGTATAGAGATTTTGGATATAATAAAAAGAGGTTTCTTATTTCTTGTTCTCGTTTTCAATTTTTTCCAAAACATAAATAAAAATATAGTTTTATTATATTCTTGAATCCATCGGTGTTGGGGCAACCCAAAAAAAATCTATTTTTCTTTATTAAAAAAACGAGAAAATTAAAAATAAACAGTAAATAAGAAACGGGAACGTTATCAAACGAGTCATATACTTCTCCATATTTCCACTTTAAACATAAGCATTGATCAGATTTTTTTTTAGTACAAAAAATTGAGGGCATGGGATTTGAACCTTAAATCTCAAAGGAATGATTAGGTATCAATTATCTATGAACTATAGGTTTCACCTAAGAAAACCTCTATATTAAATACTAATGTTGTTCTTAAGAATCTTCTTTTCATCTTAACTAACTTGAGACTCTGGTTACATTTTCAACCACCTGAATGTGGTTTTGATATTTATATATTTGGTTCTACAAACAAATTATATAATTACGTGAACCATCACAATTTTAACTTTATTATTTTAAAAAAAAAAAGCTCTATCTCAAAAAGAAAATCATGGTATAAAAAAAAAAATTTATTAGTGTTTAAAAGGATTCCTCATTTAAATTTATCATCAACTATTTTTAACATTCATCATGTATATTAACATTGAGCAATACCAGAACGAGAGCCTTGTTTTTCTAATCCGAAGCTCAAGGTACACCGAGATAGAATATACAATCACGGATCACACCATGACTACGTCCATTCAAGGCTCCTCACTTCTTTGTTCTGCACTCGAGGATTTCTTTCACACAACTAGGTTTCTCTCGTACCCTGACTAGCTACCTCTACAATTGTATGATATTGTCCGTTTTGGACATAACTCTCGTAGTTTTGTTTTTGATTTCATCCAAAAAAAATCTCATATCAATGAAGATAGTTGTCTTCTCTCATAGTTGTCAATCAATGTGAGACTTTGTTTGCAATACTCCTTACAAATCCAACCGAATAGAACTGATCTAAACTTTTTAAATAATAAGAACTAAATTGAAAAATAAAAGAATAAAGCATATTTTAGCAAGCGAAAAGCCAGAGCTAGGGGTTATAAATAGAAGTGCTTCCCTTCCCCACTTTTCAATAACAGAGAATAGAATCAGTAAAGAGAGATCAGAGAGAGAGATTGAGGAGGAAAATGTTGCATGTAAATGGAGGAATGGGAGACACCAGTTACGCCACCAACTCTTTACTTCAGGTCATTTCTTATTTAATTACTGTCCCATTCAATTTCACTCCCTCCCTTTGATCAAATTATTAACTTCTCGTTAAACAATACTCTTATCAATGTGTTTCTTTGCGTTCTTATTATATATCTTCTTTTTAAAACATGTTTTTCATAAATTTAAGCCAAACTAACTTTCAAATGTATTTAAAGAAATGTGAAAAACATAAAAAAAAATATATCAAAAAAATTGAGAAGAAGCAAGCATAATTTTTAAATTAAACTCATCAGAAACATTACTATCTTCTTTTGTTATATTGTTTTTATAAACATTTTTCAAAATTTAGGCGGAATAATTTTTTTTTTTTTTTAAATTTAATTAGCTAAGAATTGAAAGAAACATCAAAATCTCTTCTTCTTCCTCACCACGTTTTTACTCTCTCTTTGTGAATGGTTGTATTTCTCTGAATTCTTCTTCTTTGATTCCTCTGATTAATGAAGAAGTGGCCTTGATTTTAGAACTATCTAGATACTGCTCAATCTCTACCCTCTGAATCTTTGTTTCTTCTCTGAACTGTTTCGTCGGAAAAAAAACACGAAGATTCAGATTCTAATGGTTGCATGCGTAATTTTTGGTTATCTAGAGAAGACAAGTAAATATGGTTAATGGCAAAAGTAAAGCGTGACAAGTGTGTGTGTAGTTTGTGAGAATTGACAGCAATTTTTACCCTTTTTTTGTCTTCATCTCAACAAATTAAAGTTTACAACTTTTAACAGCGAAAGGTAATTTCGATGACTTGGCCAATTGCAAAGGAGGCCATCACCGACTTCTTCTGCACCCACAACTTTCCGACAACCTTAACCATGGTGGACTTAGGTTGTTCTTATGGACAAAACACTCTCATGTTTGTTTCCAATCTCATCAAACAAGTGGAGCAAAATATTCGTGAAGAAAGGCCTTTGGAGTATCAAATTTTCTTCAATGACCTCTATGGAAATGACTTCAATACCATATTTAGATCGTTGCCGAGTTTCCTACAGCACTTGAAGACCCAAATTGGACCTGATTTTGGTCCATGTTTCTTCAATGGAGTGCCGGGTTCTTTCTATGGCAGACTTTTTCCCGTTAAAAGTGTGCATTTTTTTCATTCTTCTTATAGTCTTCATTGGCTCTCCCAGGTCAGTTTTAATAACCTAATTATTCTACCAATAATCTTTTGTTAAAATGTTGTTAAATTATTAAATTTATATTAACCTTTAAATTTAAGATTTTGGATTCAATGGCAAATTAACCTACATGGTATCACGAAACGGTCTTATATTTAAACTCTTATAAAGTCATTTCTGCTTCAATTAATATTGATAATCACTTATTCGATTTTGTGCAAAATTTTCATGACCACAAGTGAAGGAAATGTTAAAGTATTGATAAATGATAATTCATAAGTTTAAGCTTTCGGGGTTAGTTTAATATCTTCATTGCATATATTATATAATAATCGACTTGAGAAATAATGGTAAAGTTGAATGTAGGTTCCTGAAGGGATAGAGAATAACAAAGGGAATATTTTCATGGGTAGTACAAGTCCGAGGAGTGTGCTTGAAGCTTATTATAGGCAATTTCGAAAGGACTTTTCAATGTTTTTGAGATGTCGTGCCGAAGAATTGGTCATTGGTGGACGTATGGTTCTAACAATTGTGGGAAGAACGAGTGGAGATCCAGCCAATAAAGAATGCAGTTATGTTTGGGAGTTTTTTACTTTAGCTCTCAATAGCATGGTGGTTGAGGTAAAATATCATTATAGTTTAAACGGTGAGACATAATTAGTATATTATTTTATGTTGTGGATTCACACAGGGAATTGTGGAAGAGGAAAAAGTGAACTCATTCAATATTCCAAACTACATGCCATCTCCTTTGGAAGTGAAAGTCGAAGTGTTAAATGAAGGAAGTTTCACTATTAACCGTTTAGAAGTTTCAAGAATTGATTGGAATTTTCAGGACAATGGTATTGAATCCAACACATCAAGTATGTTCATGGACGATTATGGTTATGACTTTGTGAAATGTGTACGATCTGTAGTTGAACCACTTATTATTCATCACTTTGGAGAAGCTATTATGGATGAACTATTTTGTAGATATAGAAAAATTGCTGCTGATCACATGTCAACAGAGAAGATTGAGTTCGTCAACCTCACTATCTCTTTGACAAAAATAAATTGATGAAAACTAAGTGGTTTTTTTTCCTTAAAGAATAGGTACTATATTTTTATGTTATGAAAAGAACATTACATGTCATTGAAAGATTGAAACGACGTTATATATATGTATTGTCCAACTTTGTTCTACTCGATCTACTTGAAATAAAATAGCCATCTACTTTGTTTACATAATTTTCACTTCCTCGTTTGAATTTGAATGGTAAATATTGTAGAAAAATAAATAGAATCATATAATAAGTTATTGAGCCCAATTATTAATTATCAAGATTCCCTTCCAATTTATTAATCCTCAATCGTTTTCTTTAAAAACAAAATCAATATCTAGATACACGATTAAATCAATATCTAGATACACGATTAAAGGAGAAACAACTTTTTTTTTCAAAGGATTAGAGGAGAGAAACAATCAATATCTATTATATTATTTTTTTTCTTTTTTGCAATTATTCAATATATTTATGTCAAGATAACTTAACTCAGTATTGACATTTATTTCTGACAAATAGATCATAAGTTCAAATTTTTCACCTCTACTTGTTGTACTAAACAAAATTATGCTTAGCAGGGATTAAACCACCTGACAACGTCAATTCGCAACACCTGGTTTGCTCTCGATGGGGCATTCCTTCATCTAAGACGTTTGTGTGTGCTACTCTATTTGTGCATGTTGAGCTACGGAATTTGTCATCCTCGAAGAGTTAGCCTTTCGAACTTCTTTTTTCTCCATTAATTTTTTATTACATCGATGAGAGATTGGATTTCACTCTCACAATAGTATGTATCACAAGGGTCCTATTTCTTTTTTTTTTAAATAGCTTTTTGCATTTTTTTTTCTTTTCTATTACAAATCCTATGAAGTTGAGATTGAGTGATTTAAAAAGAGGATTACTAATATAAAAAATTGCTCTGTGTCCAAATCTAGAAATCTAGCAATGTGAGGGTATGGATCGAACTTATAACTTCTTAAGTAGAGATATATGTCAATTACCACTCAACTATGCTCGCTTTGTCACTTTTATTTCATTAATGATATGGTTTATGCTAAGAAAATAAGATAGATTGAGGTCGGAATGTTACTCCAATTTAACTAGTCACGTTCATTAATTTTTCTCATCTCACACGTTAACAAAAGTGGAAATAACCAATATGAGTATTGTTCAACGTAATTGACATATACTTTTTCTCTCAAAATCAAAAATTTAATCGCTGACTTTTCGAAGGGTTGTCCTACCATAAAAGACAAGAAAGAAGGGTAGAAGCTAAATCTATCTAGTTATTTACCTTTTTATACATTATCATTTCAACTGAAAACATCCGACTTCTTTTCTACAGAGAAGTCGAATTTCGTTTCTACATTTGTTCTATTAATTCTTTCTTTTTCT